GCTGAAACGCCGACTGCCCCCGTCCACTGCTATCGTGGCGCCTGTGGGAGAGAGGGCAGAAGCCTGTGGTAACGCGGAGGCAGCAGAGACAGGGGCTGCCCCCCCAGCCTCAGGAGAAGACCCCTTCCAGGCAGGCTCAGCACTGAGAAAGCACAAACCTTGTTTTTTTCTTGTCACCCAATACCCAAGGACAGAGGTTTTCCCCATCCACATCCTGCTGTGGATTTCCTCTCCACCTGGTCCTGTCCTCACTGATTCTCACCCTGAGCTGCCTCCTCCCAGGCACCAGCAGCTCCACCAGCTGCCTGCTGGGCAGAGTAGTTCTGATGTAACGAAATCTTTGCTCAAATCCGTTATTCTAAGCCAAAACGTTTCAGAGTGTGAGCAGCTCATTTTTGGAACAGACCTGAGCTCCGAAACTCAGATGTCCTACCTCTTCCTAGCCAGTGCCCCGGACCGTTTGAGTCAGAAACCGAATCCCCCTTCCCACAATGATTCAGTGAAGATCTGAAGTCTGAAAGTCTTAAAGCAAACCGTGCTGCGAAGCAGAGCTGGAGGTGTACGATCAGCCCTGTAACTTAGCCCAAGCGCTTCCCTCGAGCTCAAGCATGCTGACCCCATCACGCAGGCGATCCAGCGCTCTCCAGCTGACGCAGGCTCCTTTCTGCCCTCAAAGGTCGCAGGATTTTCTGCCTACGAGCATTCTTCGTGCTTGCCAAGCTTTAATGCCCTCAAAATTGGCTTTCGTGGCAGAGCTAGGTATCGGCATGTTAAAAAAAATAGAGTAAAGAAAAAAACCAAACTGATCCTGTCTGTGCACCCATCCTGTCGTCGTCCTGCTCAGCTCTCGTGGGGCTCAGATTCACCAAGCCAAGGTACAGGTTCAAAGGCAGAGGGGAAATCCAGTGACGGAGGAGAGAACGGTATGCTCTGCCGCAGCAGGAAGGCAGCCGGCGGCCCCCTGCAAACCGCCGCTCACCCCGCTGCGCCCTCAGGGCCGCCTCTAGCAGCAGCCCTAGCGCAGCACGTGGGGCAAAGCGCCCGGGCACTGCCCAAACTGCTCTTCTGTGGTCTCTCAGCTCCCCTGCTCAAGCCCAGGCAGGCAGCCCCAGCATGTGAGGGGCAGAGGGGCGCGAGGTGAACGGCCTCCACGTACACAAGTGGGAAGGATGAAAACCAGGAGGGGAGAACGGCGAGGCAGCGCTGTGCCCGGGAGGTTAGAAAGGCTCCAGCAGACCTTGGCACGCAGGATTTATGCCTCGTCCTTCCCAGAGCGCGGGCAAAGACACTGCACCCTCATTTCTTTGAGCTCAGAGCTGGAAATCGCTGACCTTGACTAACAAATGCAGAAGATAGTCCTTCTTGTTTACCCTCGTGTTTTTACCTCCTTTTGCTAGCTACAGTGCACGAAGGAAGCACGCAGATCTTTTAAAGTGCGATGCTTCCACCCAGGGCTGTAAGGCTTCGAAATCCCGTCTCTCCTGGAAGCCTGGGGCTGACTGAAGGATAGAGATGATGAGCCTACAGCAGATACAGGCATTTCCCACCACGTTTCCCCGGCCTGCAAACCCCCGTGATGACAGAAGCCACCTCCCTGCCAGGGAGTCCTGCCAGGCTTCCCCAAACCGCATCCCAGCCGCTCCCAACCCCAGCAACGCCGGGGAACACGCTTGACCCACGAGCTTGCCTAGACAAAAACCTAAACCACATCCCTTTGATCTCAAGGGCATAACGAAGTCTTGGAGGACTTTCCGACACAGCCCGGAGGGCCGGGTGATGGGGTGTGCTTCCTCTCTGCGGTTCACTTCCCACAGCACTTTTCCAACCCAGACTCCTGGTCACACCGGGCCTGGAGCGCTCTGGGACACATCCCATTTGTCACCACTGAAGCGCTAGCCCCGTTTACGACCTTCCCAACACACCGGCAACGACCTGGACTGCTGGCTTATTACCTTCTCTTGCTCTCCTGATCGTTCCCAAAAGCCTGGTCCTCCTCCTCCTCCTCCTCCACAGCCCGCTTCCTGCTCTCCTTGATGGCATTCAGCACAGTCTCTTTGGCGCATGGGTCCAGGCTGCTGTTGGCCGGGAAGGCCACGGGCGAGATCAGCTGCTCCAGGCTGCGAGGCAAAGCAAAGCAAGGCATTAAGGCAAGCTGGGATCCCCAGAGCGAGATCTCCCCACCCGGTGCCCCGGCCGCCCCCGCGGAAGGGGGTAGAGGGCTCTCCCATGAAGCCCCTCCAGGAGGTTTGGACCACACCACGCTCCCCGCAAGGCAGTAACGCTCGGGATGGGGACGGAGCCGTCGCTGCTGGCCCGGGAGCGGCATGCTCTCCCCGGGGGACCGCTCCGGGCAGCGCAACCGGCCGAGGGC